CCTGTGAAAGGGTCGTTCAACCCCCAAAGGGGTTGTGACCCACAGGTTGAGAACCGCTGCCCTAGGCTAACCGATATTGCAGATATATCAACTACTAACAGCTGGTTTCACCGTCAAACTTGAGGACTAGCACCTTCCCTCTGCTTTCTAATTGCCTCTGACATCTCTAGGGCTTTTAAGGTCGCTCATACTTTATGATTTCTCCGAGGGAACCTTGAACCTCTGCTAGAACATTTGCGTGACTCTAACAGTATGACCTAACTCGAGCAGGTGACAAAACATACAAAAACAACAACACAAGAATCCAATCTCAATCCCCAATGGCTTTCTCTTTGCAGCGTGCAGAAAACCCTTCATAACCCCTTTATTCCTCCATTTTCGGGCAGCTATCGTCTTCCAATCCTTTATCCTCCTTGAAAGTTCTCAGGGGTGGAGATCAAAAAGGGAATAAGAAAAACGGTGGAGAAACTTCCTTATTGAAGATGAAAAGGATCTTAGTAAATGGAAATTGCTTCTAGGAAAAAAGTAGTGGTGCTATCGAAACAAGACACCTAGAGGATTGGGAACCGCTCTTGGGAGGACCAAGCTCAGAGGAACTCCAGAGGCAGGGCCGGTGGCCTCCGAAGGACAGCCTTTATTGTTACAGGGCATTCCTTGCACCTCCGTGGGACAAGCGGGCCCCTCATACATGGGATGGCTCTAAACAAGCCCCAAGGAGAGATCATTATTTCAGATTCATCACAAAATAACTGACTTATTTCATCCTAACTACTACTATGCTGAGCCACCTGAAATGCATTTCATTTTTGAGGTAAAAAAATAGGCCTATCTCAACGACTTCATGTCATCCAGTAAAATGAACTCCTTCAAGGGACTCCTAACTCCTGGTAATGTTCTATTTCTTGACCTGTGTGATTATTGGACTATTGATTCATTGCATTATATTATGAACTTTTCTGAGTTTATAATCTACATCAAGTGCTTTGTGTAAAATCACATTAAAAAAAATTTTTTTTAAACTGTCTGCCCCGTATCTGTCCGTGACGATTTAACTCAGTTCGTCCCAGTCATCAAAAGGCAGTTTATTCTAGGGAGGTTTGGTGACAATTAGAGCAGCACACTTCAGCTCAATTTGTGTATCAGCCTCCCAAAAAATCACGTTTTTAAGCGCTCCCCATTCTATGGGGTCACAATTTGAAACAGAATTTGGAGATCATTTGCTTTGTGGCACTAGGGAACTGTGCTAACAGAGACCCTCTCCCTTTTCCAAGGAGAACCAACCCACGGAGGACCACCCCAAATTGAAGTGTCACACTCCTTCCTCCACTCCTCAACAAATCCCCAGCAAAACCTCCTAGCCTTGTGATTATGGTACAGTGCTCAGCTGGCAACCAAAAGGTTGGTGGTTCAAACCCACCACCTGCTCTGTGGGAGAAAGATATGGCAGTCTGCTCCCATGAAGAGCACCGTCCTGGAAGCCCCAGGGCAGCTCTAGTCTGTCTGCTGTAGGAGTCAGAATAGACTTGAGAGCAAAAGGGCGTTCAGGAGAGCAGATCATGAAAAACAGGGAAACAGGAAAACAGCTTTATGACTACTTTTGCAGGAAGTTGCAGCCTCACGTGGAACTGGAGTTTTTGACTAAAGATGGTCTTTTCCTGGATTACTGCAGATGTAGTTAGTTGAACTGCAACACACCTTATCATATGATCTTCCTGTGGACCCATTTTTAATTTGTTCCAGTTTTCAGTATTTTCTGCTTTCTTTTCTATGGAGGTTTTCCTCGGTTTTATTTTGTTATTGAATGCTGCTGGGTGTTTTCTATTGTGTTTCTTCTGTATATGAAATCCAGGGTAGGCAAAGCTACAGAGGCAGTAAGTGGACCAACAGTTTCTCAGCGGTTTGGCAGGGAGGGCTGGGAGGAAATGGGAAGCTAATAACAGTGCGTACAAGAAAGAAGAAACTGTTCTAAAATGAATGGTGGTGATGACTACAGAACTCCTTTTACAATGATAGAATTATTGGATTATATGATAGGTGAGTTACATATCAATAAAACTGTTAACATTAATTAATTAGTCAATTAATTTTTAAACGATGGCCTTTCTACACCACTGCAAAGTCTCAGGTGCTGGTCAATTTACTTTGCCCATCTGAACCAAAGCAGGGGTTATAATCTAACATGAGCTGAAGGGGAATTCAGAACTGCCTCACAGGCTAAAAGATTTCCTCAACCTGGCTCTGATACGAAAGAAAATCCCACATTTACTCAATCGTGAGTTTGCTTGGCTATTCTGGCAACTAAATATCTTAATTCCAACCAATTTGTTATATTATCTACTGATAATTATCTGCTGACTTGAAAAAAATTTTTTTGAAATTAAAACCCTGGGGGAGGATATAGCTCAGTAAGTGTTCTGAGGAACTTCCTGACAGCCCAAATAAAACCAAGCCCCGCGCCTCGTCATGAGAATTCCGACTCACAGCAAACCTATAAGACAGAGTAGAAATGACCCATAGAGCTTCCAAGCCTGTAAATCTTACAGAAGTAGACTGCTGTATCTTTCTCCTGTGGAGCTCCTGGTGAGTCTGAACTGTTGATCTAATGGTTACTGGTTATGTACCACACACAACCTGGGCTCCTCTGTGACAGCCAGGGAGACAAAATTCCATCAGAGACAAAATAAAGTGGATGCATAAGGTTGCCCAGAAAGGTAATAGAAAAGTCATTTCCCGATTCAACTGAACAGCTTTGCCCAAGGCTGGCCCTGTCCTAAACGTCAGTTCCAGCCACTTGTTTCAGTCGCTGTGGCCCTAAGACGAGACAACGGAGACGGTCAGCTGTTAGTGGGAACCATGGGAACCAAGGGTGAACACTGCACTGCCAGGAGACTAAAGACATACCTAATCCTTGCTAGATGTTTTACTTAAACTCATATGATATTTTATTTTGGGGTTTTGCAAATTTCTTTTTTTTTAATCTCTTATTTTTTTTATTTGATATTTTATATCATGATAGGCAATCCATCATTTTCCATTTAGTGGAGGACAACCACAGAGAATCACTAAGGATAGAGGATGTGCAGAAGCTCACGGGTAATTATCTGTTTAAAACATCGTGTCACTTAGGTCGGTTTCAGCCAGACTCCCCATTTAATGACACGGGAAGAGCTCTTCGGGTCTCTTCTACTGCTCTGCCAGTCTTTTATACATTATTCTCCCCAAAGGCTTATGGCAGCTAAAATGTAAAATTACTTACTTTAGGGACAATGTGTGCCTTAAACACCTGGGTGTTTTAATTTTTTTAAATTAAATTGGTCCATTCAAATGGATATTTAAGCGAAGATTTCACAAAAATACAAAAGCTCTCAGCAAATCAACTTCGGAGCTTTGCAACAGAGATGAAGATCTATCTATGCAAGATGCCAAGCCTTCTGAAGCATTCTTAATTGGTTTACAAATAATGTAAAACTGGAAGCTAAATTAAATTCTCCACTTGAAATAATGAGAACCAATAGGAAGCGAAGACTATGTTGGGGCTTCAAATAGTGGAAAAATTCCATTTTCCCACAAACTTTTTGAAGGTTCCTTCGCCTCATTGGATTTAAGAACGAATTCTCCAAATGTACAGCAGTTACAACCAACTGAGGTGCCAAGCAATGATTCTTCTTAAAACTAATGTGGAGAGCCAAAAGTTATAAGGGGTTACACATTTAGCTGCTCTGCATGGTGGACAGGGAGACAAAGAACAGGAATCCATGGGAAGTAATGAGTCCAAGGCCATGGCTCTCCCCTTACCCGTTCCTTGTAGTAGAAGGAGCTGATTGACACCAGCTCTTTCTCACTGCGGGTGGGGCTCCCACTGTACAAGCGAAGGTTCCCGGGGGCCTCAGTGCGGATCTTCATTGGAGCAATCAAGCCAGTGTGATAAGCAGACAAGGCCGAGAGTGATCTGTGGTTGAAAGCACACAATTAGTCATCGGTTTCCCACTCATTCCATATTTCTAAGCAGTGGAACCAACGGTGGTAGAGGAGAAATAGACAAAACAGGAAGAAAATGGAAACTGATTTCCTATTTTTGTAGGAATACAAAAGACCGGATATAATTAACTCAAAGTATGAGATTTTAAAACTCTACTAAGGGTATGGGGCTGAGAAAAAGACCCACAAATATATGGTCAACTGATTTTCAACACAAGTGTCAGTAGAGAGGAAAACCTTTGCTATAAATGGCACTGAAACAACTATGCGTTTATACAAAAAGAAAACCCAAAGACTCCCTATCGCACATTATCTATAAAAACTTACTTGAGATGGCTCATGGATCTTAAATAAGCAATTTTAAATCATAAAGCTTTTAGAAGAACACACATAGTCACACAAAACAAAAAGCATTAAATATACATATATATATATAAATGATAAAATAGACATCATTAAAATTAAAAACCGCTAATCAAAAAATTCATTTAAAAGAGAAAAGACAAGCCACAAATAGGGAAAAATTATTTATACACATCCAATAAAGGACTTAAAACTAGAACAGATTTTAAAACGACTACAAGTGGGTAATGAAAAGGCACATAACCTCCTCCTGCCCCATCCCCCCAAAAGAAAACACTGCCACTGAGTTGATTCCGACTCCTAGTCGCCCTATGTACAGGGTTTCTGGGGCTGTAACTCTTTAAGGGAGCCGACTGCTTCATCTTCCTCCCAGAGAGCAGCTGGATGTTTTCACCGCCAACCTGTGGACGGCAGTCCAACACCCTGTCCACAGCACCACCAGAGCGCCAAGATAGAAGCACAGTTCATTATCAAATGGGCACACAGACCTGAACAGGAACTTCATAAAGAAGGTACCCAAAGACTCAATAAGCACACAAAAGACAATCAATATTATTATTAATCAGCATCATGAAAATGCAAAGTAACAAGGAGGGCCTGCTGCATACAAGCTAAAACTGAGAAGATGAACAATACCAAAGTTGGGAAAGGGATCGGAATCAGACTCCACAACATTGCTGATGAGTGTAAAATGACACCACCACTGTGGACACGTTGTTGGAAATGTCTATTAAAGTCAAGCATGTATCGACCCTATGATCCAGCAATTGGACTTCTCAGGTAGATCGGCAGGTCCATAAGAAGCCTTGCATGTAGAATAGCCCCACCGTGGACACATTCCAATCAATCCGTCAACATTCTCCATCAATAGGAGAACAAATTATTACAGGAAGACAATGAATACTCTGTATCAAAGCAAAGAACTTAAGAGGATGACATCGGCAAATGGTGGGGATATAGCAACATTATGTGGAGCCAAATACACAGGAAAGAAAGTGGTGCTGAGTTCGTGAACTTCTATTTAGACAGGTTCAAGAACAGGCAACGCATGCTGATGACAGTCAGAACACTGGTTTCCTCTGAAAGGAGAAGCTGGAAGCAGACCAGGAACTTCTAGCAGAGGATGCCAGCAATGTGCTCCATCTTGATTTCAGTGTTGGTCATCAAGATGCACTCCGGGCATGTGGGAATTGTAAATTTGAAGAAAGTGCTGTTAGCATTTTGGACTCTGACCCAAATATGGTATATTACCATATACCCTCGAGTATAAGCTGACCCGACTATCAGCTGAGGCACCTAATTTTATCACAAAAACTACATTAAAAATGTGTTGAAAAATTTGGCTTATACATGAGGATATATGGTAGTTGTTTCCCTTTGGAAAGTTGTCATTGGTTTTGAGCCTAATTTTTCAAAAAGGGGCCCAGTTCAATGGCGGGAATCTCTGGTGCATACCCTCCAGGTCTCATCTACCTGGGTTATTACGGAGTGGTGCCTACTCATGTACTCGGTCCAACCCCTTTTCTCTCCTAATTAAACCCCTATCCAATATATCTGGGCACTTGTAGCAGCAGGGCTGCCCAGGTCATCAAGGCCCCCCGCAAGGTAGAACCAAAAATTCCTAATATAATCTTTATGTTTGGGAAAGGACAACACAAAAAGCCAACCATGCATCAGCCCTGGGAAACAGAAAGCACTCACATGTGCCGGGCAGAATGCTAAATGCTTTACTCACCGAGTCAGCGAGTCTTTACAACAACTAAGGTATGTTACTATTATGCTGTTTTGCTGCTGAAGAAATTGAAACGCAGTTTAGTTTGCTCAGGGCTGCACAAATAAAACAGCAAATCCTAAGATTTTGGATCTAAGTGATTTGGCTCCGAAATTCATATTCATGGCGATAGATGGACTCACAAAGCAACAAACCTCTGTTACCAGTGGTCCTCCCAGGGACTTGGACAGGAAAGGAATGGCTTTCACATGTTAATTGAAAACTTCTGTGGTGGCATTTTTCAACATATTATTTATGTAATTAAATTGCGTTGGTACTGTGAGAAGTAATATACTTGGGTTGTGGGGCTCTGTTCTTTTCATCATTTTCCCAATTTATTATTTAGTCAAATAATGCTTCATCCACAGAGAAAAAAACTCAACTCACTGCTCTTGAGTCAATTTCAACTCATAGCAACTTAATGGAACAGAGTAGAAGTGTCCTGGAGGGTTTATAAGCACATAAACCTTCATAAAAGTAGAAAGCCTACCTAATAAAGTGATTGTTTTTTAAATGGAAAGAAAAAAAAAGTAGAAAGCCTGGTGAAGAAAGCTGATGGTGCCCGGCTGTCAAAAGATATAGCATCTAGGGTCTTAAAGGCTAGAAGATAAACAAGTGGCCATCTAGCTCAGAAGCAACAAAGCCCACATGGAAGAAGCATACCAGCCTGTGTGATCACGAGAAGTCAATAGGATCTGGCATCAAAGAACAAAAAATCATACCATGGTGAATGAGAGGGAGTGCAGAGTGGGGACCCAAAGCCCATCTGTAGGCAACTGGACATCACCTTACAGAAAGGTCTTGGGGAGGAGACAAGCCAGTCAGGGTACAGTAGTACAGCACCAATGAAACATACACTTTCCTCTAGTTCTTTAATGCTTTTTCCCCACCACTATCATGATCCCAATTCTACCTTACAAATCTGGCTAGAACAGAGACGTACACTGGTAAAGATCAGAGCTGGAAACACAGGGAATCCAGAACAGATAAACCCCTCAGGACCAATAATAAGAGTAGCGATACCAGGAGGGGAAGGGGAAAGTGGGGGAGAGAGGGGGAACTGATCACAATGATCTACACATAACCCCCTCCCTGGGGGACGGACAACATAAAACTGGGTGAAGGGAGACATTGGACAGTGTAAGACATGGAAAAATAACAATGATTTATAAATTATCAAGGGAAAGGGAGGGAAGGAAGGTGAGGGAGGGAGGGGGGGAAATGAGGAGCTGATACCAAGGGCTCAAGTAGAAAGCAATTGCTTTGAGAATGATGATGGCAACAAATGTACCAATGTGCTTGACACAATGGATAGATGTATGTATGGATTGTGATAAGAGTGGTATTGAGCCTCCAATAAAATGATTTTAAAAAAGTAGAAAGCCTCCTCTTCCTCCCAGTAGAGGGAAAAGCACATTAAAATAAGAATTTACCTTGTTTTGACAACAGCTTTTCTCAAGCTATTCCTGAGACAAAATGATTAGATGGAAAAATTTGAATAAAGCTATTGCCAAAACAAAGTAAACTCATTTTAATGTGTTTTACCTTTATCGAGAGTCCTGGTGGCATAGTGGTTACATATTGGGCTGCTAACTGCAAGGTCAGCAGTTCAAATCCACCAGCCACTCCGAGGGAGAAAGATGAGGCTTTGTGCTCCCATAAAGAATGAAGAGTCTCAGAAACCCACAGGGGCTGTTCTACCCTCTCCTCCAGGGTTCCCACGAGTCAGAATCGACTTGGCGGCCGTGAGTTTGGTTTTGGCTTTAGTGGGCTGCGCACTGAGCTGTGAACCACAAGGTCAGTGGTTGGAACCCATAACCTGCCAGGCCCATAGAAACCCATAGGGGCAGTTCTACAGGGCTTCGATGAGTCAGAATAAGCTCAAGGGTAAAGAGTTTATAGAAGTGTTTTTTTCAATGGTTTGGTAGTAACCCAACCCATCAATGGAAATCTCCGTTTAGTAGCAATTGAAAGAATCTGGATCATTTTCAGATAAACCTTATAATGAGAACTTACTGGAGAAATTTAAAAATTGCCCAAAGCCAAACTCAGTGGCCATTCTCAGGTTTCTAACCCTTCTGTAGCTGTGAACACAGGTGACTTCCGCATCTCACAGACTCACCTGGGAGTGGGCTCTGTCGGAGACACTGCTCTGTGCATCGTCATCGGCCTTGTGAAATACACCAGATAACCTGACAAAGGAGGCACCACACATATCAGTGTCAATCACCTAGACAAGCGAGGCCCTAAGGTAGCCCGGGTCACTTTTTTATATTTCTGTACACCTGAGCGTGAAATCATATTTTCCTGAGTTGCAATGGCTCATGAGGGCAGTGAGTCTACCAGCAGCAAACCCGAGAATCCCCAGGAATCCAGGAGGTGGATGGAGATGCAGATGGTTTGAATGCGGTCCTCACATGTACTTTACACCAGGAGGTTTCAAAAAGTTTATGGAAAAATGGGAATGAAACACAATGGAAAATTTCCATGAATTTTTTAGGGTGCCCCTCTCATATTTCCTTGAAGCTAGAGGATATTCCCCATCCTGGTGAGGATGAATGGTCTCACTAGGAATTAAAATCCCAGGTCATCCGAATAAAACAAAATTACTACTGAGCATTCCTAGAACAGGCCCCCACACATCTATTCAGCAGGAGACACGAAACACTTACGGGAGTCTTTTGGAGCTCTTAGGGGAAAAATGAAAAAGAAAATCTTCCGTGGAGATATTTATGCAAACTATACCATAGTCTTAGTTGCTCAAACTCTAAACACCTGCAATCAGGGAACCAAGAACAGACCAACCTGCCCCACAGAACCTGGCCCCAGAAGTCCTCGGAAAGGGGATGTTGGCGTCCTGGTATGACCCGTAAGCGGTGGTGACACGAGCAAACGTTGGTAAGGGCGGTGTGACCGAGTTTGGGAGAGCAAAGGGGTTGCTGGAAGCACTGTCTTCTTGGTTCTGAAATTTAAAAATCAACAAGCTAAAATAAAACCAAAAAAATTTTTTTTAAAGAAAACTTTTAAAAATGCTGGACTATGACATCAACACACAATTATAAAACCAGGTAGCCCAAGATTTTAGGGAGGAACAAAACTCAAAACCAAAGTCATTACCCATCCAATCAATTCCCACTCCTAGTGACCCTCCAGGGCAGGGAAGAACTGCTTTGTGGGTTTCTGAGACTGTAGCTCTCTATGGGAGTAGAAAGCCTCATCTTTCTCCCAAGCAGTAACTGGTGGTTTTGAACTGCTGACCACAAAGTCCAACGTGTAACCAGGGCTCAGAAACTGAGCACTAAAGCACATATTGGCACACCAAGTTCACCCTTCGCACCACAAAGGATTCGAGGCAGGAGACAAGCTGGCGCAAGCAGGGCTCCAAACAACTCTGGTTGCGTTTCACTTTCTGCAGAGACGTGTCTTTCAGGATCTGAAACAAGGAACAGAGCACAGTCAAGCGTGGCTGCAGAGTTCTCCTGATTTGCTTTTATTCTGCCACACCGCCGGAAATAAAGGAGATGCAAAGACTGGGTCCCGGTTAAGTCTGTCTGAGGCTTCCTACCTTCCATGGAAGCTCAGAAAGGTGAACTCCATTCTGATCCCGACAGAAGCCCTTTCCTCAGCCAAGGTAAGCACACACACCCTGGCTTAAGGAGGAGGTCCTAGTCATGGGATGACGGCTCTTCCTTCCTAGTGAGTTCTCCGCCCCCACCTTTCCCCACCCCACCCGACACCCATGAGAAATCTCAGTACCTGAGTAGCAGTAATACACATTGGACTGAATTGAAAACTGCTGAGTGATACAGGCCAGTGGGGGCAGATCTCGCGTTAGTGAAAATTTAATGTATCTTTATTTTTGTCCTTACAACTATAAATTCTAACATATATGAGGAACACGATACACATATATACATACAAATACATATATGAATGAATTGGTATGCACACAGTGAAGCTATACGTTAGACTTGCATTCCTAATATAAGAGTCAACACTGACATGGCGCAAATCCAAACAGAAATGTGGTGTTAAGTGTGAAAGCTGCACTGAATATTGAAGACTGTATTAGCCATATAAAGATATAGATGTTTGGGCTATATTTGATACAGTAATAGTTTGGACATTCTGAAGAAGAGCAATTATTGTTGAAGTAAGTAAATTATCAAAATATACTTATCATAAATCATCACTGTTGTTCATTTCTGTTGAGTCAACTCTGACGCTGGGGCCTGTGTGTGTCACGGTAGACCTCTACAGGGTTTTCAGGGGCTGAATTTTAGGAGACTGTCAGGTTTTTTTCCGGAGGCACCTCTGGGTGGACTCAAACCGTAACCATCTACACCACCCAGGGGCGCTACAACTACATCTAGCTCAAAGGAAGTGGAATTGCAGGGTTCTTAACCTGGAGTTAACAGAGAGCTTTAAGGAGATTTTTGCACCTTCTGAAAATTATAGGAAAAGCTAGGCAATGTTTTCTTCTGGGGAAGTGTCTGCAGTTTACACTAGAAGTTCAAAGCGGAGTCATGACCTGAGAAAGACAGGAAACTACCACTTGTCTCCACACAAAGCAAGTCGGAGGTGTGGGAGACAGACTGCTAATACTGCAGTTTATAAGGAGCAGATGACTCCAAATCTTGTCTCCAGCAGATTTCTCATCTAGCCTCCCTCCTCAACTCAGACACTGATGAATGCGAGCAGAACCCTTCTCTTAGAGCATCGTGGGGGATTTGTGAGCACCGGTCCTCACCTTCAGCAGCTTTGCCTTCATTGTGGACGTGATGGTGGTGGGGTTAATAAACTGGAAGGATGGGGCAGCGTTGTTTGGGTACTGTGCAGGGAACTTCACCAGCATCTTGACGCGGTGGTTGCTACAGTGCACAGACACTGTACAGCTCCTGTCTGCTGCATCCATCTGCCAATCACAGCACAGAGGGGTTAAAGTACGCTATCTGAATGCTCCATGTTCCTGGAATTAAGGTAAAGGGACGGGGTGCCAAGTTTTTTCTCCTGAAAATAACGTGCTCTCACACGCAACGAGAAGAAAGGATGGCCAGTTCTGGAACAACACAAGTACCAATTGAAAATAAAACAAAAGAAAAAAAAAGAAAAGAAAACAAAAGTGATCATGCCTTTGAAAAGCTGCAAAGGGAGAGCAAAATCTGTTTATTTTGAGAGGAAAAATAAGGTCGAATGAATTTCTTCTTTAGATGCCCTGCCTTCAGTTGAAAGCTACGCCCAGGTCCATCCATAGAGACAGGAAGGAGACCACCAATGGCTGCCAGAGAGTAAGGGGAGGGAGAGAGGTGGGGGGTGAGTGACTGTGAGGGCTTCTGGGTGGAGAGATGGAAATGTTCTGAACAGAAAGAAAACCACATGTATGGAGAGCTTACCATGATCCTGCTGATGATTTCATTTCTTGGGATGGGCTGCGTGTATGTTTGTGAATGTACTAAGAGTCAACGCATCGTACACTTTCCAGGGGCCAACCTCACGGTCTGTGAATTCCATTTCAATTTTAAAAAGTACCCCTGAGGGAAGGAATCAAGATGTCCTCCTGTGGCTATACCACTAGGCTATCAACTGGGACAAGGGGCCTGTAAATTGAGCTTATTGAGAAAATCAACTCATGGATCCATCCTGTAGCTCTTGGGATTTCTTGTGTTGCCAACAAGAGGAGTCAGCCCAGAGGATGGACATGAGCCACACATGGGGTAATTTGGGACTTGGATTCAAATATTCTCTTGAGCACAAAATAGCTGCTGACCTTGGGCAAGATCACAGTTGGGTCTCCCCATTTCCTCATCTGTAAAGTGAGGATCAAAACCACTGATGACTGAGTTGTTTCAGAGACCAAGTGAGGTCATTCTGGAACAGCCCCTCTCGCTGCCTACCTGAATCTCGGCAAAATAAAACCAAAAGAGCTTTAAAACTTCTTCTGGATTGATGAGTAAGTTTCTGAGGCAAAGAATTTAGTCTCTGCCTAGAGACTAAGTAAGTGAATCTCCCCACATGCTTAGTCAAAGGCTCCTGGATTTATTTGCCCTACTGCCCACTTTGCAGTAAAAATACTCACTCAGTGCCCCCTGGCCATAATGAACCTTTAGTAGCCCATCTCCCAGGACAAAGTACAGGCATCTGCTTTTGCAGCCTCCCCCCACCCCAGGGATGGTAGCGCCCACGCTGGGAAACAATGTAGTAAGTATATGAGAATATTTGGTTATCATCATCTATGTCAGAGGTAGAGGACCTTTATACTAACCAGGCCATTTGGATATTTATAACATCATTCGCAGGCCTGCTCTACTGGGTCAAACATTTAACTAACTTACCCCTAATATGACGACTGGCACTGCTTCTCTTTGAAGTTGCTCATTCCCTCTATAACTTGGATCAGGGATGGTAATATCTGGCCCACTGACTGATTCGCAAATCAGCTAACATCAAAGACAATGTTTAAAAAAAAAAATACCCCCAAACTCACTGCCACTCAGTCAATTCCGATCCATTGAGACCCTACAGAACAGAACAGAACTGATCCACGGGTTTCCAAGACTGTGTAACTCTTCACTGGAGTAGAAAGCCTCATCTTTCTCCTGTGGAGCAGCTGGTGGTTTTGAACTGCTGTCCTAGTGGTACAAAGTCAAACATGTAACCAGGGCTCCTCGGAGAAGACAGGGCAGCACAGTAAAAAGAAATCTGGAGAGGCAGGAGGTCTGGATACCAAATTCTACCCTGCCATGAACTTCACGAGAGAGCCTGGCCTGGTCACTAAGTCTTTCAGGGTCTCAGTGTGGTCCTAGACAGTAAAGCAAGGGGCTGAGGCACCAAAGGTGAAGCTGCCATACAAACACGACAGCTTAACTTACGAGAAGAGCACAGGGTGTGTGAAACTCTCATGCCTACAGAAAAGCACAGAGAGAGACTTCCATCGGGGGAAGCACAGCCATCACAAACAGCAGTTAACATCACGCTAAGGCTGAGTTAGCACAGATGGTGAGAGACCAGCTGGGAGAGACTGCTCATTCACTCTGAGTACCTCCACATTGACGTTCCGGATCTGCACATTGATCAGGGAGAACTCTTGCTGCAGAGTCTGAGGCAGCCCCAACTGATCAGACTTCCGCTCTTCTTCCAGGTGACTGGGAGGATCTTCCTTTGAGGCTAGAAGAAGAGAGAAGTTCAAGTATTGAAAAACATTCTTGGAGAATGAATCAGAAAACAGGTCTAAAGTTTCTGAGCTTTCCTGTCAGTTGGAAAAAAGCAGAAAGCAGAAACACACGTCATTTAACCTAAGCTTAAGGAGACCAGGGAGACACTTATCCTGAGAGTGTGCAGGCTGCCTTCTGGGAGGAGGCCGACGAGGTTGGCCAGAAGCAGGCTGGGGACTACATACACTTCCCACTGGTGGGATTCTGGTGACCTACCTACTAAGCTTTCCGTTTTATGCAGGGATAGAATTCAGACATGACAAACACTGTGCCCAGAATGAGTGCGTGTGTGCGTGCGTGCGCATGTGTATGTGTGTGTATGTGCATGTGCTCACGCACGCACCTGGCATGAAGATCAAATCTACCTTCTACAGAAAGACCTTAGTGATGACACAGGAAAGGAATTACCTGGGAAGATTTCTTTTCCCCCAGAAAATCATAATGATGTAATTTTTTTATTCATTGGAAACATTGTAAGCTAGGAATAGCAGAGAATGGCCTTAACCTTTGGAGACCCAAAGCCCATCTGAAGGCAACTGGACATCCCCTTACAGAAGGGTCGCGGGGAGGAGACGAGCCAGCCAGGGTGCAATATGGTAATGGTGAAACATACAACTTTCCTCTAGTTCTTTAATGCTTCCCCCCGCCCCCCAACTATCATGATCCCAATTCTACCTTACAAATCCGGCTAGACCAGAGGACGTACACTGGTACAGATAGGAACTGGAAACACAGGGAGTCCAGGACAAATAACCCCCTCAGAACCAATAACGAGAGTAGCAATACCAGGAGGGTAAGGGAAAGGTGGGGTAGAAAGAGAGAACCAATCACAATGATCTACAAATAACTCCCTCCTTGGGGGACAGACAACAGAAAAGTGGGTGAAGGGAGACGTCGGACAGTGTAAGACATGACAAAATAATAACAATTTATAAATTATCAAGGGTTCATGAGGGAGGAGGGTGGGGGAAAGGGGAAAAAATGAAGAGCTGATATCAAGGGCTCAAGTAGAAAGAAAATGTTTTGAGAATGATGATGGCAATAAATGTACAAATGTGAAAAAAAAGAAAATGATGATGGCAACCTATGTACAAATGTGCTTGACACAATTGATATATGGATTGTTGTAAGAGTCCCCAATAAAATGATTTATATATAGAGAAAATGATACAAAATCAATGTGCCAGCTTTAATTTTTTTACAAAATCAATTGCATTACCATAAATCAGCAACAAAGAGAAAACAAAAAGAAAATTAAATGCCATCTTTAATACCTTACGGAAAAAACAAACAAACAAGCTTCCAGGAATAAAACTAATAAAATGGGCCGAATTTCTATGGAGAAAATGAGAAAATCTAATTGCAATGGGCACAGAGAGACAGAATAGAGCATGTTCACAGAGTTGAAGTTTAAAGATGATATTCTCTCCAAATCAATACAGATTCAGTTAAAATCTTAAACAGATTCTTTATAGAACCTCCAATTGATTTATAAATTATGTGGAAATTCAAAAGAACTCTAAAGCTATTCCAAGTGAGAGGGCTTGTCCTACCACTTATCAAGACTTATTTTAAACATCTCTATTAACAGGGGGGAATTTATGAAAAACCTTTACTCAAAGAAGGAAACAAATAAACTGGGCTTTCCAGTTAGGCTTTTTCTATTAAATCCTCCTTATCTCGGGGGTTATCGTCCCATTTCTGTTTTTTTATATCCTTTTGGTGCACATTAAAATAGTTTAAAATAGTCCGTTAAACTTTTCAAGATTCTTACTCTTTCTCCAAGTTGAATTCTTTTGTAAAGGTCTCCTCTTTGAGTTTGACATCCTTGTCCCCTCTACCATGACACCCCTGGGCTAATTATGTTACGATTCTAGGGTCCTGATCCTGCCTCCCTTACTGCCCACCTATGAAATGCAAAGAGCAGCGTTTCACCTAAAACATCAGCTAGACAATCTACCTTCTTCCTCCCCATGACTTGAGTTGTGCTGATTCTCTGTATCTTGAGTGTGAAGGTTCTTCTCTGGTTCCGGCAGAAGAGAAATACTCTCAATGAACTCATCCACGCCATCTAATATGTCATTTGCACAAAGCTGAAACAAAGGACAGAAAACAGCTAGGTAGACGGCCATCAGTGGAAACAATCATCACGTTTAATGAAAGAGTTCTGACTTCAAATTGGCAAGCACAAAGGGCAGAGCTGTGTCGGCCTAGAACGGACGCCAATCAAAATAGGCCTTGCTCATCCCTAACTCTCCCTTTCTGGTTAAAATATACAGGGTACTACTCTGTATCACTCTACCCTGGGAAGTTCCCATCAAGATCATACATCCATTAAATCTCAAAGCATGATGGAGTTATTCAGCTAACATAACCTTGAGATGTTTGGAGCAAATGGCACTTTATGGAGAAATAAATTTTAAAGGCATTAAGGTTGTGATGTGAAGCCAAAAATGGTGGTGGTGGCGGAGGGGGGTGGGGTGCGCAAGAAACCAGCTTCATAGGAGAGATGTTGTTGCTGGGCCTGAGGGCTCTGAATATTTACCAAGCACCAAAGCGGCTTCCTACCCCATTCAGAAGAAGCCTGTCACAGTCTGCCACTGCAACTATCAGACATGCAAAGAGTTTTTGTTCGAAAAGTGGTGGGTCGCCTCTTAAAGACCACAAAGAAAGGCAAGCAATCAGCAAGAATTTATTAAGTGTTTTTTATGTATCCTCTAACATCCACAAAAGCAAACTGTAGTCTCATCTTTTAGAAAAGTTTCCTGGCTATCCCCTTACAGTCCTTCACAACAACATGAGATACATACCCTCTGCATCTGGGAGTCCACGCGCCACATCCTCAAGGTCTGATCTCGGGACCACGTGACAAGTTGGTAATCCTTTGACCCTAGGAAGCACCAAGCAAGAATCCTGCAAACGGTTCTGGGTGCGACACTCATTTTGTTACAAATCCTAATGGAGTAAGATTCATTTCTTCATTCCCAAATAGCGTGTGCCAAGTACTATTTTTAGGCACTAGGATCACAGAATGAATAAAATAGTCTCTCTCTTGACAGATCTCATAGTCCAGTGGTGGAAAGTGACAAGCACATAAATACGTAACATAAAGTCAGGCAGTGATAGTGTTATAAAACATAACCCAGGATAAAAGGATGGAGACTGATGGAGAAGCTATCTTTAGATAGGACTCCCTGAGGAAGCCACATTTGAGCAGAAACTTAAATGAAGTGAAATAATAATTGGCCAATTATCAAGCGAAGAGTGAGGTTGGGATTTAATGTCACACTAAACTTTCACCTCTGCAAATGCTTTCCTTTCATATCCATGCGTTTTTTTGTTTTTAGTATATATGCCGCCGAAGCAAGCACTTTCCTTTGATACTCATATGTTCTTGATGAGACAAATATATATATGATATCAATATATTACACATATCATTTTCCCCAAAAAGGGAATTGTTTTAAATACATTATGGCATCTCACTGTCTGAAATAATTTCTTTTAGCAGAGGGATCTTGCAAAGTCTCTTTGGGATCTAGCAAAGAGGGATCTAGCAGAGTCTCTTTGCAAAGAGACTAAATCACTATGTTCTTAATAGACTAACATGTATTTTCACATATTAAGTTGGGTCAAAAAGAAATTAGTTTGAAAAGGCTTGAGGTGCTTTATAAAAGAATCTGATT